TGCAACAAAATGGCAGCTGCGAGGCGAAGCCACCCCAAATGGGTGGCTGTCTAAATTAGACTTTGAGTATTTTGCATATTTAATTGAAATTGCATTTCTTAAATAACTCACTGTCATTTGCACACAGAAACACATACACACACAGAAAGAGGTAGATAGACAGAAATAGAGAGAGACACGCCTGCTGTCAGCACTTGCTTTTTATTTGTGCGTCTAACTACAGTTCTCTTTTGTGTATGTGCGTATTTATTTAGTTTTATAAGAGTTTATTCAAGTGCATGTCTTACCCACAGCTTTGTCTGTTTATTTAGACCAACAGCAGCAGCAACGAAAACAACAAAAAAGGCCAAACTCATTTGCAATTTGTTTAATCAAGACTCAACTCACAAGCAGCTAGCACACACACACAGCACACACTTGGCAAAACACACGCATACACTAAACAGAAATTACACATACGCCCTGTGCGCCTGGGGCACTGTGTCTCTGAATGGCGCCAACTTTGCGCTCTCACTCGTACAGTCAAAGTCAAATAAACATGCTAATTAAAAGGAAGGCGGCCCCAAAAAATCAAAGACCAAAAATTTGACCCAATTTATAGTCACGGTACAATGGGCGTGGCACAAAGAGGGAAATATGGGAATTTCATTGAAATTCTTTCATTAGTTCAACAGTTTACAGTGGATAAATCTTTATTGCAACTGTTCGTTTAGACTTTGTCTAACTCGATTTGACATGGACATCAAAGAAATCAAACTGTCTAGAAGTTAACAAGACGGTGAGTTTGTGTTTGAAGAAATAAAATAATTAATTAATGACAATCATTTATACGCTATATGTCAAACAAAATTGATAGTAAAAATATTATAAATAAGTTAAATAAAAATAATATATAAAAATAAAACTAGGTATCAATAACAAAATTTTTTCCAAGGGTATACTAAGTATGGGAATCGCAGCCCATTAAAGGCGGAAGAAAAACTGTCTTTGTTTTATTTATATTTAAAAAGGTAAATATGTGCTTATTCTGAATGCTTAGTTTGTTGATTAAGAGTCATTTAAATAAATAAGTGTTATATAATTTAAGTTAAGATTTTATTTTTCTAACTTTTCTAAGCAGTTAAAACGTGCAGTCTAGATGCTCGTTTATTGAGACCCAAATGCTGACAGCTCTTGCAAATTTCGCTTAGTGCCGTTAAAGAGTTTTGTATTCAATTTTATTTACGTTTCTCTTAGTAATGGCAATCTAAATACGGCTAATGAATGTCATTAATTTGGTGGGAAATGCAATGCTACACCTGGGACTTGCAAGTCGATTGAAATCGGATTAATAAATGGGCGAGGCGCTGAAAAATTCAATTAGGCACAACAGCGGCAACCGGCCGCCGGGTCTAGCAGTTTAACTACCTTCAATATTTCTGGCCTTAATGCAATTATTTACTTTGCCAACCCGGGCGAATTTGAGGCTGCTGACGGAACGGATACTTAATGGGCAGCGGAAGCAGCTGTAGCAGCTCATTTTTAAGGCTGACATGTTGTGGTTTTACAGCTTGCGTTGCCATTCGAGAGCTATTGATTTATGTCAGCAGCAGTTCAATTGACATGTGCAGGGCTCAGACTGCTACCATGACCAAAGTGGCCGAATGTAGTACTCCAGCGAATTGGCGAAGTTTAAAACGAATGAAGCATTGCCTCTCGAAAGAAGCACATCATTTGTAAATTTTTGAAAAGAATTTACAGAAAATTGGTAATTTAAAAGTCAGAGACAGCTATTGACACATTCACAAGACCTTTTGGTACTTGAGAAATACGTTTAATGTAACAGCAACAGTTCTGGTAACTGCAGCAGATATTTCTCTAAGCAAAATGTATATATAATTTTTACAAATCAACTTAGACATCAGTTTATCTTTAGTTTTGAGTAATAACGATTCTAATTCAGATTTAGATCTAAAAATGTTTTTGTAAAAAAGGTAAGGGTAAAACTTTTATATGTGTGAAGCCCAATTCAATACTTAGAGTGAATTCCGCAAATATCAACTAAATTTTCGTTAATTTGAACTTAATCATAGTTTCCTTTTAATTACTAGCGACATCCTTTTCCAAATAGACTGAATATAAAACTTTCCAAATCATATGAAATTTCTGCTATCAATTCTAAATCAGTTGGCTAATGAAGCTCCTCGATGTACGCCATAGTCAAGTTCACAAATTGCTTGGCTCTAGGCAGCTGGCCCTGCAGAAGCGCAATCAAGTGAGTTCAGTATTAAGAAATTATCAGAGTCAAAAGTTGTACTTGCACGCCAACCAAAAGGTAATTAGAGGCCATGCAAAACTGGAACCAGCCCAAGGGAGTTGGGCGCAAAAATATGAAATAAAATTGTGTGCAGGGACATACTGTGCAAATATATAGAAGTGGCCACGCCCCCAACTATTTTTCCAGTTGACTGGTGCTGTGCGTGCAACAATTGTGGCTGCATGTTGGCCATGCTGCCATCCGCCACACGCAACGCAGCCGCAGGCATAGCCACAGGGACAGCCACAGGCACAGCCACAGCCACGGAATGAGTTCAAGGCTTCTCTTTAGAATTTTCTTTTTTTTCGCCTTTAATTATGAAACACTCAGCGCCAGTCAAGTGTGCGGCAATTGTTGTGCCAGTGCTGAGAGTGTTTCTCCTGTTCTCACAGCCCATCAGTGGGTGGGAGGTGCAAAAGTTTTGGGCAACTCCAAGACAGTGCCTTATTGCCAAAGCATTTGACTTAATGCGCCACATGCCCGGGCCAAAAGGCCATAGAACAAAATCTATGCCAGACAGGCCCATTATGCAGCAAATGCGTGTTAATAGCCAAGTTAAAACTTTTGTAGCTAATTATCGACAGTTGCCAGAAGACCTGCTTGGTTTGGTTTAGTTTCGCTTTGTATGTCTGCAGTGCTTGGTAGGTACTCAAAAAGTTAAGCGTCTATTTTGCCTCGAGTTAAGCAAAATTAAAGGTATACCTGCAATAACAGATACACACACACATAAATGAAGGTGTTTGTAAAGTTTAAAGTAATTAAGCCGAACGAATCGCACTGTGTGCTGCTGCAAATAGATTAACGTAGCATTTTCAGTGCATTACGTGCCGTATGCTTAATTTTATTTGTAGGTCCAAAATCGGTGCGCTCAACTGCTTAAATGTTTATTTAATTAGTGTAGAGCAAATTATAAGCCATTAAAGTTTAAGAGCAAATCTGAATTCATTGAAAATATGCTTTCTAGTTCGGCGAAAATATGCAACATATAATTAGAAAATCTTAAATTAATTAGCTTACAAATATGTTTCTTAAATAATGTAAAAATCTGATGCGAAAGCTTTCTGAACAATGAAGTACAATTTGTTTTGGATTTGGTTTCACTATCTTAGTATATCAATTTCTTATTTAAAGCAAGGAAAGCATATCAAATTCAAAGTAATATTATTTGTGTATATTTATTATTCAGTTTTGCAAGGAGAATATAATTGCATTTAAATGCGCCATTATCAAGCCAATTATATTACCCATTCCATTTGAATCTGACTTTCTTATCTATCGAATCAATTTTTCAATTTTAATTAAATTTTTTTTGACATCACCTTGATTACCTTTTGGGGTAAATCGGTGTAATGTCTCTACAAATGCTCATCATGGTACTTATATTCGACCGCTACTCGGTACGAGGGGCCCAACTATGAGACTACTACATTTTTATGCAAGCCACCAAAGCGCTGAGCAAATAGCCGAGCAGCCATTTTAATTGAAAAATATTTGCCACACTCTAAAGTTTGGCGCGTGTTTGACAATTTGACGCTGCTGCTTCCTGACATTTGCTACACTGTGGAGAATTTGTGTGTTACATAAACAGAGTAAACTCTATTTAATTAGTCCCGCAGCCGCATCCTTTTGTCGCTGTGTAAACTTCAATTAATATGCGAATGAAATCCGCTTAGGCAAAAAGCGGCAGAAGCGTAGAAAATAAGGGCAAGAGCAAGGCGAAACTGCCAATCAAGCGAGAAGAAGAAATCACCCACTACCACCTCCCAGCAGCGCAAGCCCCTTGGTGATTTGCGACATTTTGTTATTTTCGCTGATGCTGATGCTGATGCAAAGCCGACACTCGATTGAATGAGCGAACATTCAAGTACACTAATTAAGATCAAACGTTTCGAAGCGAAATGAGATTTTATCGACTGGGCGGCATTGTTGTACTCTGTGTACATATATATTCATATTAAAAACGTATAATGAAGTGTCAGCAAAACTGATGCCCCTCCCCCACCAGTCTCACTCTCTCTCTCTCTCTCTCGCTCTCTCTAAACAAAGATTAACGTCAAAACTTAAGTAGCGACTGTTCAATCAAAACCGTCGACTCTCAATTCGAGTAGGCCCAGGCCCCAGGCTCCATTCCGATCCCATTGTCAGGCTCTATTGTTGTTGCTTGTGCCTGGAGGGGCCATCAAAAGGTAAGAAGTGTCTTAAAGTGGTCGCTGGTTGCCCTGACAGCTCGGTAATTAATGAAATGTAGACACGTTCTTATTTTCGTTCGTGGGCAGACCTGTATAAACTAATTAAAGCTTCTTAATAAACTTAATGGCCTTCCCCCTCGCCAATCCCCCCTCGAATTCCGGGTTCTTTAATGTTCAGGCGCAATGAACCGTAGATTATGCAGCTACAAATGCTATTCAACATTTCAGTGTCTAATTTTATCAAACGCATTTTTGTGATTGTTTCATTCAATTAAATATTTTTATATCTGCACTAAGTTAAAAGTTTCCTTTGATAACGTGCTCAGTAATAAATGGGGACATAAATTTCTGTAATTTAATGCTTATTATAGCTGTACTGTAATTAGTTTTGTCTATTTTCCAACAGAACACTAGCCAGCGTAGCTAAATCTTTCAGGATTACATATAAACACTTGTTTAATTTGGAGAAAATATTAAGTGACAGGCAGTTGTTTGCTTTATTCTATTCCCAAAAATTTTTGCAAGTGTTGTTTATTAAAAAGCACATTTTTCTTTTAATGTAAAAGGATGCGACATCTAAAAAACTGAATACCAAAAATTTACCTATCCACAAACAAAATGGAAATTTTTAATTGAAATTTACCGTGTGAATTTTTAAAATCACATTAAACTTTTTCGTGGCATCGCCTCACTTTCTGTTGGTTTGTTAGGAGTCTACGTTTTCTTCATGAGCATAGAATTTTACTCCTCTTTTGCATCGGCTTCGGTCATGTCAATGTCTACCTCGTTTTCATCGATTGCTTCGGTCTCCTCGTTTAGCAGGGTTTTTAACTCCAACGTGATTTCGCCTTCATTTGATACCGTAGATACCTCATTCTTTTTGTCTTGAACATCGATGCCGGCTAAAGCCGCTGCCAAAATTAGGGTCAGAACGATGGCCGCATACCCGGTTGCATAAATCTCTCGTTTGCTCAGGAAAACATTCAGATGCCAGATCAAGTGACGTGTTCCCGCCACCATATGATAGGCAAAAGGTATTATTATAAAAAACTTGAGCACATTGAATGCGGTCCTACTGCAATCACATTTCTCAATCTTCTCTGCCATGGCATTGACATCCATATCACAAAGCAAGCCAGTCAAACCAATCGTCCAAATTCCTATGCCCAGAATAAAGCCGCTTATACGCAGAAATATGGACATAATTGAGGTCAACTGTTTCTTATAGATACTCAGATGTGGCGACATCTCACGACCTAGCTTTATATTGAGCTCTTCATAGCTCAGATTATGATATGAAGCGGGTATGATCCTCATGTCGATTTTAGGCGGCCCGAAGGGTCCCTTTTTGCCCTGTGGAGGTCTTTTGCCATCAGCTAGTTTCTTGCCATCATTTCCTAAATCTTTCTCACCTACTAAAGCTTTCTCACCTACAAAAAAAGTTTTTGTCAACGGGAATTTTCTACAGTAATTTTTTGTCTTACCATCGCTGCCTTTAGACTTCGAGTAGTGGGCAGCTTGGAGTATTAGGGGCCTGACATAGGTGCGTTGGTTACACAACAGGGTTATGTGAGCACGATAAGCACCTCGTTGCAGTTGACTAAAATTGCGGTACCTGAAATAAATTTTGGTGAGCTAGTGACAACTTGGCCTCAACTCGGCATAGTAGCTACTTACGCGGAGTACATTCTTAAAATTTTAAGAAAATTTGTTTCGGAATGGAAAGTTTTATTATATTTGATTTTGTTTGATTGGTTGGCATGGATAATGTGATGGGATGCCTATGTCTGAGCCAATTCATTCTTTTTTTCATTTGGCCAGCGCTCGTCAATATAAATAAACCTTGAGACAATAAATTTGACAAGTTATCAATTAAGTAACTATTATTTCTGCACATTATGAATACATTTTGAGTGTTGCTATACGCGTTCTAAACAAATCCAACATTTCTTAAAGCTGCCTCATATGATGCTTCACTTTCATTTACTAGTATTGAGTTGCTAACTGAGATTGTTGGTAGCCTTGCCATGTTATTTGTCTAGATAATTAAGTTAGTTTTTCTGGAGTATATAAATTCTCTTAATTCGCTTTAAGTTATCAATTTCGAGGAAACACCCAAGCTATCAATGGTCCAAACTTTTGCCCCATGCAAAGCCCATTATCAAATATTTATGGCAGAAGTTATGTTAAGCCCTTCAAAAATGCATGCGGGATAGCAATCTAAATAAAAAAAGGAACAGTGCTCTATTCGGAAGTGCCCGACTAGAATATACCCTGAACTTTCTTCAACCAATATTAATTTATTTTGTATTCATTAAAGTTAATTTAATTAAAACTCTCCTAACAGTTGATAAGAATTAAAGATTCTTGCTTTGTATATACTTCCTTGGACACGGGCAAATTATCGATTATCGGAAACAATCTCGTACGGCACGTGTGCTAGGTTGCTCTACTTTTAAAATTTAAAGTCTATAGCTCTTATAGGTTCTGAGACGAACGCATTTATACTTACGGACAGACAGTCGAGCGGACGGACAGACAGCGGACGGACAGACTGACGGATATGGCTAGATCGACTCAGCTATTGCCGCTGACCAAGAATATATATATATTATATGATCGGATATGCTTACTTCTGCCTTTTATAAAATTGCACAAAACCATTATACCTTTTTTTCCAGTTTTAATGGATTTAGGGTATAAAAAGGAAGAAATAACACAATGTTGACTTTTCGCAACGCACAAATGTCAGCTTTAGTTTAGTTTTTTTCCACATATTTTCTACTGAGAGCCAGACGATGCCAAACCATATGCAAAAATGTGTTTTTAGTTAACGTTTCGATATTTTTTCTTTGATACCCTGTAACCTTACAATTTCGTTGTGAACTGTATTGTCATTTCGATATGTAGGGTAGTTTAAGTGGAAGGTGTGGAGTGAGAGATATATATTCATGTTCATATTTACATATACGAGTATTTATTTATATTGTAAATTAAATAAATTCGATTGTAGAATACCCTATAATTATCATCTAATATATATATTACATGTTTTGTATATATTGACATATGGTCTAAGTACAGGATATAATCTTGTCGTGCTCTTTCTTCTTGAGTATTCGTGTTTATATTTATTTGAAAATTTATATTTTTTATTGTTGTTTTTTTTACAGCTGAAACGTTTATGACACATTCTTTCAGGCGCCAGAAGGCTTCACCAGAGAAAATAACAAATTGAAGACCATGCTGTGAAGCCAACACTATATGCGCACATTTAGTAAAGTATGTAAAGCGGTTATATATACATTTATATATAAATTTATGAATATATATGTGTGCACATATTTGTATATGATGTGTTGCTGCAAACTGACAAAAAGGTTGAGCTCAAATTTAAACATACATAAATATATGAAAAGTTAATTTGAAAAAATCTCTTTTGACAGCGCGCAGTGGGTGGGCTAGCGTGTGGGTGGCTCCAAAGTTGCGCCCAAATGGCGCAGATGCACAGTATATGTTATTCTAGTTGTTGTTGTTTTAGTTGTTGCTGCCAAGTCGCAGTCAGTCACTTGCACGATGCTGTCGAGCTGCAGCTACAGCAGCGCCGTCCACAGTAAACGATGAAAAATGTGTAAAAATGGTTCACACACACACACACCGACACACTTCCATGCATATACACGCACACAATTGCGCAGAGACTGGATGTGTGAGAAGCGCATAGGAGGCTGCTCCCACTGTTTATATAGCCTGGCTACGTGTATAAATAACGCTAACATTTTAAATCAGTCGAGTGACTGCAGAAAACGCCAAAACTGGTGCCAGCTGAGCGACGCTTTTGACAACCCTTATTCCCAGTTTCCAGTTACCGGTTACCAGCTACCCAGCCCCCAATGCCTTCCTTGTTGTGCTGCCTGACATTTATGTCCCTGTGCGTGCGCCTGGGTGTGTGAACGTGTGTTCGATGTACAACGCAGCTTCGTCTTTTGCTCCACACACACCAAACGATTCACGCAGCAACAACGTCGCCTCGTTTGATATATTTTTGTTTCGTTTTGTTTTTTTTGACTTGTCCAACACTGCTTCATATTTTCTGCAAAATTTATGAAATTTTAACCCATTTTCTCACCCGGTCATGGGTGGCTATTCAATCTTGTCTTCCTTTTAATTGCTTTTTACAATTTTAATTAAACCGAAGAGCAAACGATATGTTTTTGGCCACGAAGTGCTAAACATGTTTTAATTGTTGTTGGCAGGGGAAATCGACTTGTTTGAATCAAACAATAACATAGGTAGAATGTAGATGCAGTATATGTATAGTTTGTAATGAGAAGTATGTGAAGCTAAGCATAAGTTAATAAATTATTTTTAAAGCATTCTTTTTTCTTTATATTTCTTACAAATAAAACATTTTGTCCTGACTGACTGATTAGTGATCAACGCACTGAACAATACTCAAGAGCTGAAATTTTTTATTGAAGTTACACACTCTTTGCAAAGTATACCGCTCTTGGAAGAAAAATGAGGGTCAAAGGTTGAATGAACGAAAATGTTCGGCTTCAAGCTTCACCCAATGGGAATATAAATGAAGGGAACACGTTGATTTTGGTTCTAATTCGATCAATCCAATATCTAAGTAAAATATATTTTTGTATAAATTGGAGTTCATTTCGTGAACTTTTACTTTCAACAAAACAACACCCAATCCGCTTTTATTATCATTAAATTAATACATAGGCATAAGAACGGTACAAACCTTCGATAAAGATTAGATCAATCGATACCATGTGGGAACAGTTTGCTACAAATATTCGCTCATCATGGGCTCGGTACTGCAGAAGCTCTTTGACAGTCTTATTATGTAGTATGTCTTTGAAGCAGTACACAGGAAATGTGCAGAATATCCCGAAAATTTTCTGAAAAAGAGAAGGCAATAGGATCTCAAATGTGAATAACAACATATCGCAGCAATCCATCCAAAATGATCAGGGCTAGGTCAAGCAGAATATAAGAAATATGAAAAGCAGAACAGGAAACTATGTAGCAATAAAAATCAAGAAAAGTTAAAAATTCAAATTTTACAATATATAAAGTGCAGTTGCAAATTCTTTGCATCTTTTTACTGGGACCGAAGCTTGCCAGCTTGAGTTTAAAGCACCAGCCGGTTGATTGGCTTAAATTGTGCTGCAAGGTGGAAAATTAGTTTCAGTTTTTCCTTCATCCAAACTCTGCCAACTGGACAGGGTCTTTGCATATACTACGCTAGCCATAAAATGTTCTATCCATGTTTTTGTTGCTGTTGTCGTACTGTCCACATTTGAAATGCGATTGCCCCATAATGGAATTACCTGACTGCGATGAAGACAGGACAGGACAGAACAGGATTCTACTGTGGCATATTTACCTTTTGCATATGTCATAAATTTATGCGACGATTGGCTGGGCTTATTTGATTTGATAGCCTTCCCCGGTCCGAACATTTGCAGTCATAGCATGCAGCTCCAATATTAGATTTTCACTTGTGATTTCTGTTCGCTTCACAGCAGCTAATTTAAATATGCCTCGCTAAAAGCTTCCCAAAATGTCGCTTGCCTTAGATTCTCCAGTATTGTGCGTTGCGCAAATTTGATTTGTGGTACCGTCTTTGCGTTCGTTTGCCTAAATAAATACGCACAATATGCACGACAAAGCCACAAAATGATATATTATATATGTAAAGACAGAAAAAGAAACCGCTTTCAATTTAATTTAATAAAATTCGTTTCGGTTGAGCTTTTGTGGTTTTTATATAAATAAGTTTTACTGAACCCTCCTCCCTTTGAAATATGGATCCTGTGTGCTCTATTAATTCATTATTTCTAAAATATTTCCCATGAGCAGTACATATATTTTATTTTATTTAATTTTATTTAACAGCATAATTGAAACCACTTTTGACTTTGGTTGCATGCCTTACGCTTTATTAAAATCTGAAACGCTAGACACATCAAAGACAAACATTCAAGCACTATGTAAATAGTAAATAAATCATAAATCATTCATACTTGGAATATTAATGAAGATAAAAGAAGCTGCAACTTTTTTAAATATTTTTTAAGTTGACTACTCGAATTTGTATTGTCTTTTAAGTAATATTTCTAAGTAAATAGAAAACCCATATAAAAAATTTAAATACAAAAGTTGTAATAGTTTAATATTGAGTAAAGTTTATTAAAATTTATTGATTACATTTTATATATAACATATGTACATATTTGTGTAAATACCTAATCGACTTTCTCCCTTTTTGCACTATGACTAGTATGTGTTTGGTTCCTCCTCTGTTCCTTTTATTAAAAAGTGAACTTTCATCTTTAAAATATTAATTAACATTAATAAAGTTTTTCTCTTGACATATAAACCTGCAACAGTTTTCAGCTGAAAAGAAAAATTATAAGGGCACACATATATTTCCATCCACATCCCCGGGCTACCCTGCCACTATACCCACAGTCAAACGATTGCTTTTTCCTTTCAAGGAACTCAATATGCGTGTCTCTGTTTAATTAAGATTGAGTTTATGTATGTGAACGCGATTGCGGCTCTGAGTGTGTGCACGAATATATTGAGATCTGTGCGCCGGCATATATTCAAACGTGTATGAATAAATGTATGAGCGCATGCATTTAATTTAATTTTCATTTCAATTGATTCGATGACTTTACGTTTCATTTCACGTCTCGATGCGATTTCAATTACAATACTCACACACACACACGTACACCCACTCTCACAGACACCCAAGGACTAATACACACTAGCTGCGTTTCAGGTTGGTTGCCAGTGGGCCAAG